GTCTTCATGTTCGATAGGTATCTGAACCTTCCTGTTTTGTTTCTATTTTTTTTCTTTTTGCAACAATACAACGACTTTGAACGACTTGAAACCATATTGTGAAATTTTACGTGGCTTCTTTTCTAAAAGAAAATAAGATATCACTTACGAAACTCGCCTGTCATTATGTTACATATACCACGGTACTGTAAAACGAAGACGAAAAAAAATTACGGAACATGCACACAAAAAAGGAATTGTTTCTTTTATTTTCTTATCGAAACGTTTAAAAATGTAGACGCTGCTAAGAAACAAAGTTTTAGAACGTCATTCCGAGGGAAGATCAGTTAACAGAGTAACCGTGGGAGAGGAAATGCTTGTTATTTCCTGCTTTGTTGGTTTTTGTTTGTTTTTTCCGACAGTCAACAAAGAAAATCCTACAGTTAAGGAGAGTTTTCACCGACAACATTTGAGCCGATCGCGTGTAAGATGCACGGACGTTACTAGGAAAGTCGGAAGTGGAGGGCCAGAGCCGCAAAGCAAGGCCATAAATGCCAGAACATTTCTCTTTTTGGAAAAAAAAAATTCAAGTATTGTACTACTACTTTACATATCTTCATCTTCGAAGTTTTGGAAACGCTGTCGTCGTTGAAAAAACGTAAAAAAAGAAAGCAAGAATTTGAACGTCCAGAAAACATAACTGAATTTCAGATCCTTGGTTCAAAGAAAACTATAAGTTTCCACGTCTGACTCAACGAGATAATTACCTGTACAGAATCTTCTTTTGTGCCACGCGCGATCACAAAAGTCGAAACAAGAGGAGACACGTGACCTTACATAGTACAAACACAATAACAAACACACAGGCCATATTATCCAACTATACGAGAACAAGTTTCGAACAAAGATGGCCCGTGACACACGTGTTAAAAGTCAAACACCACAATTAAAACATATGTTAATCTTTGCATTCAGGGTCTTTGTTCTTTAAGGCCGCGATTTGTCCCGCTAATCAAGGTAAGAAAAAGACCCTTTAATTTAAAGAAACAACGAAGGGCGAAGCTTTGTTTCAACTTTCGCGCTGCTAAGCGCTTAGGTTTTGTCCGTAATTGATAATGAAGATCGTTTGTAAAGAGCCATTACACAGATGAGTGATCGTGGAGATCGACATCTGTCAGTCATTGTCCGCGAAGACACTGTAATGGTCTCCTATCGCTAGGGAATCGTTAACTATATTGTCGGTGCAGGTAACGTTTTTTTCGTCCGTGAGGCACGCTTCGCTACTGGTTTTGTCGCCCAGTATGTGGCCATTGATTACTGCTAAACATGTGATAGTGTACACACAGGAACAGAAAAAGAATCTTTTTTGAGAGTACAGGGCTGTGCAATCAGCCCTTCTTAAGCATTTACACTTAATCGGGTAACATAAGCCCTATGCCACTTTAAATCGGTGTCTTTAGCAGGCAAAAAAACTATTTTTAAGTCAACCAATATCATCAAATCAAAAGATAAACAATGTCACGAGCCCCTCTAGCCTCTCAGTTTCCTATGTTTATTCATTTAATTAAGGTAAAAACGCGCAAAACTGAGTGCACGGTAACCTTAATTTTTAAAAAAAAAAAATAGCTGACAAATAGAAAAAAGTTTAACTTTCCTGCGTAAATATATTTTTTCCGTCATGAAGCGACTATTGAACAACTATCGTTGCCCGTTTCCATTGCCTCATAATTTTCTCCTTAACTTCTATGTCGATCAGATGATCAAGCATATGAGTCCTTGGGAAGGGAAATCAGAAAAAACGTCTGCATTTTTCGAAATTGTTCAAATCAATCCAAACGGGGCGTCTTAAGTCTGTTACTTAAGGAAAGCAAATGAACTGAATAGGCAAGTTTAACATTACGAAGACTCCAGGCGATGGTATTAATGAACCTTTTTGTTCTTGCTCAGTGGGATGTATTTTCAATGTTGTCTTTTGTGAATTACGGCACGCTTCAAGGCTCAACATGGAACCGTTTGTTCCTGAGATGTTAAAAAGGAGATTGACTGAATTCATTTGTAGCTTAAAAAAAGGGTTTGGTAGCTCCAAGAGAAGCGATTTACAAGCTTGAGGGCTAAGGAATGACAAGTTTTTAAAAAAATGTGTGTAACAAATGGCACCAACTTAGCGTCACTCGGCAACTAGCTACAAGTTTAGGAACAAAGGCCCCCGTGAGGCATTCATTAAAAGCGTTTAAATGATACACAATCTTCCAAAAATTAACGGGATATCTTATAAAAGGGGAAGAAAGCAACAAAAAACGTTTGCCTTGCTTTTGTAATCAAATACTGAACACTTCATTGTGTTGACGCGAGGCCACAGAGTTCGATTTGAAAAGCAAAGAAATCTAACTTTTTTATATGGAGACTCCACTGAACGCAAAATGGCGCATTCTACTGGAAAAACGGGTGACTAAGGCACTGGTGGAAGATATCGTGCCCCCCCCCCGGCAAAATCATACCAGTCTCGAACTTATTTCGTTAGACTACAAGACGTCCGCACGAGTTTGACCTCAGAAAAAGCTGTAAAGCCAGCGGAGCGAGCTTTTCAGGTCGCGATGCCGCCCTACTTGGGTAGAAGTACAGAAGTACATTTCTATCTATCACCAGCTCAGTTCTGATAGCTACTATTCAAGATCATGAAAAAGGATATACTAATAGAAAATTAAAACTGAATCCAAAAGTTAACCAGAGGAGGTCTGCGGATACCAATTTGTCTAATATTAAGGCCTCAACAGTTCGTCTTTTTCTTAAGTTTTCTTTTTCCTTTTGTCTATAAATTATTCCTAGAAGGGCATCCAAGGGCTTTAGACGAACACGGCAACTCACTGGTCGACATTACCATGTGGTACTATTTTTTCGTGATTTTTGGCGCGGGCTGCGGACACGGCAAATCCGCACTGGTCGACACTAGCACTCGAACACTTTTCCCGCGATTTTAGGCGCTTGCTAATTGTGAGAGGCTTTTTGCTATGAACAACGCAGGAAAGAAAGGGAGGTCATCACGTTAGTAAACAATAAGAGTATCTTCTCATTCTGACTCGTCCTACTCAGTCGTGAAATCTGAATATCTCAGTTCTCTTCATTCTAAGATTTCATGGCTATACTACTCAAACCCACCAGAGTCCAGTCAAATTGTTATCATTAACATCAAACTACTTGCACCATATATTTTCCTGCCTTATTTTATGTAGTGGGACCTACTTATAACCATACTGAAAATTCACCACAATCCACTTGATGGAAGACAAGTATTTTTACCCCAAACAATTTTAGCTTTAAGCGCAGGACACCCAACAAACACAAAAATACAATGCGAATCAAAAAAACCTCTTACTGTGTTTAGCGTGTCTAACACTATTTATACTCTCTCAACCCTTTTTGGTCAAAACGGCAGCTTGTCATCCATCTTGCATGGGTTCGAGACAGATACAACAGGCAGGATTCGTACAGATTTTTGGACCCAAAAGTCAACACTTTTTCCAAAACAATAATATATTTTTCCAGACTCAAGGTTATCAAATGTGACCTCTCACACAAAAACGTTCCTTACGAACGAATGCAAAGCATGCGAACGAACGGCAAGCGAATGGATGAGAGATGGATAGCCAAGCCATTCGCAATGGAACGGCCGAATAGATGAACAGACGACGAAAATTTTGGAACGGATGAGGTCGCCGAGAAGGATAAACGGATGAAGAAAATTTTTGAACGGATGAGGTCGAACGGATGAACGGCTGAAGAAAAATTTTGAGCGACTGGCTGTGATGTGCTAAGTATTTCTCGTTTCCATGAGTTGGAGCAAATTCACGGCGTGAGGTACGTATTCAGTGCATTTTTGCGATCACGCAAGTCATTCGCGAGCTCGCGGAAAACTATAATGCAGAAGTTAACACTAAATTTTCACATGTTCCACCGAACGGATTCTGACGGATTTTTAGTATTTTTCTGTTAAGACCAACCTTGACTGAATAGCGTTAAAATTAATTGATTACCTCGGTTACAATTAGCTTAAAGTTGACCCTCCTAAATTTCATAGATTGACTGGACTGTTCAAAGTTTCTACTGAATATAAAGCGTGAATTAGCTTCAAAGACCTAGGGAACAGCTCACTGGGACGGGAGATTCAAGGGATCAAAACTCCAGACAAAGTTACGACGATAGCGGAAGCCTCTGGGCCAGTTCCAGAAGCTTTTGAATTCCCATTTAACGAAAATGTTCTTGGTCAATCAAAGCGGGCACTTTAAATGCTTATGGAACCAAATTGGTAAGAGGAAGTGCACAATGGCTCCCTCGTTGATAGTTTACACTCTCTCATCAACGATTTTGCCTGTGAATTCAGTAGCCCGTGGTGATTAACTACCCACCCGTCTCCCAAAATGAGCAGGAGGCACTGGCAACGGGATCGGGTCGTGAACAGGGGTATGTGTGAACAAACAACCTACTGTATAGCATATAACCACGTAAAAGAATGTATTACTGTATACAAAACAATGTGCTGCTTTTAGCCTGCTTAGCTTTCCCTCTTCCCCATTCTTCTCCCAGGTTTACAGCCTAAGAAAATACAGCAACAACAAAAGCGCTGGTGGAATGAAGTAAATCGAGCACGGTGATAGTATTTGATAGTTGTCCTTTGTTTCTGATGCATCATTTCTCAGTCATAGCTGCACTGTCTCGTTTCCTTTCTTGTAGAGTTTGTATTCCACAAGATGGCAGCCATTAAACTAGTACATGTACAAGTAGCACGTAGTTTAAACCGACTCGAATTTCTGCGTCATTTAAATGACAAAAAAGCCTTTTTCTTGTAAAAATCATAAGTTGTCGGTGACCAGCCCCAAACTTGAGTGAACATAATTTTGTCAGTCCCAGCTTCTTTCGACGCAAAACCGAAGAGAAGAGTCTTGGACACAAAACGGAAGTGTTGTCAACTTCACCGCTATTCAGGGCTGGGCAAGGACTGATGTGGTACCTCATACATCAGGTGTTTAAAACCATCGTATAGGGGTAGTTGTTTCCGTAGCACTGTCTTCTTCAGCAGATTTTTCATCTTTTTCCTCATCCTTTGGGAACAAATCAGGAAACTTAAAAGTACCACTAGCCTGAAGAGAAAGAAGGTTGAGATCAGATAGAGGAACATTCTCAACATAACATTATTGTACCAAAGGGTATTCAGTCTCTTTGCTTTCATCTTGACTGCTCAAAAACTAACTACTGACTCGACAGCAATCGTCTTTGACTTTCCTACACAAAGCCTAATTCAAATGAGGGCTGCAATAATAAGAACAAATTTTTAATGAAGGAAGATAATGAAGAAGCTCCCAAATACTTTATTTAACACCCTTCAATTACTTCCTTGGCTCTTATTTCTAATTAATTTTTGAATATGGTGGGAGAGCGTTACCTCAAAGGGTAAAACAAATACATGTAATAATGGTACCTGTTTTGTTATGGTGGAATTGCAATTAACTGCTCTAGCTAGTCCACTAAGTATTAGTATTATTACTCCAATCAAAAAAATTTCAACATATATAATAAACATGCATGAGAGGATTAAAAACCCCATCTGGTAAGAGGCAGCTAGTGAGCTATTTAGACGTATGACCAAGGATTTGAACTAAAGATGACCGAGAAAAAAGCTAGCTATTGCTCAGAGCAGGACTCGAATCCAGGTCAATTGGGTTGGGAGGACAGAGGACAATGCGTTCACTTGGCCATGCTACCAGCTCCACTATTAATTTGTCCATGCAACTCAAAATAAAATTGCAGAATCACAGACTGTACCTCTTAGTAAATTTATTCTCAGATTGAAAAGTTTAAATGGTACAGTGCTGGCCTAACTGCCCTTATCAGGTTTAAAGTATAAAGGCTTGCTCTTAAAATGCTTTTAAGATGATCCAAGCCACTTTCCTCAACTTTTTTACACTAAGTACAATACAATACAATACAAATTTTATTGTAAACTCCCCATGGGGGCTTTTCAGAGACAAGTATTAATAGTACAGGTAATCAAAAATAAAAATAAAAAATAAATCAGTAAATAAATTTAAAAAAAAGGATCACAAGTTGATTATCAATAAACTATTAAGAAACTATTTACATATAAATTTATGACATTAAAAATTGACTTAAAAGGAAGGCTTTCATTTTACGTTTAAAAATGATAAGAGATTCAGCTTATACACTGGTTGAGCTCATCATACTTATTCGGATAATGTTATGTACTACATAAAAATTTACCCCCGAGATCAGTTCTTATTTACCCGTTGTTATTATACTCAGGGTTACAAAGGCAAACAAAAATAGATCTAGGAATAAAACTAAACAGGGCTGTTACCAGTGTACTAAGATTTCAAGTTACAAGGTACAGCTGTATATGCAATTAGTGGGGAGGAATTGAAGAGGTAGCTGGTTTGTTAGGTTCTGGCTCAATTGACCAATGCCAGCCTGCCAAGCAGGAGGCTGTTGGTTCAAACCCCAGCTGGACCAACACTCAGGGTGTTTAAATAACTAAGGAGAAAGTGCTGTCTTTGTTAAAACATCTGCAAAAGGCTAGACTTTCTAGTCTCCTCGGATAAGGATGCTAAACTGTAGGCCCCGTCTCACAACTCTTACACCGGTAAATCCTGTGGGATGTTAAAGAACCCACCCAGTGTTCAAAACCAGTGGAGGGCATAGTCCCTGGTGTGGTGATCTATCTTTCATGGGGGGAGCGATTGTCATGGGCCTGCGTAGTAGCAACACGCGCTGTTATGGTGACCCCGCCTAGAATTGGTGAACCCAAGTAAATAAATAAATAAATAAATAAATAAGTAAATAAATAAGAAGCTAGAGGGCCATACTTATTATAGTAGCTGGGGGAACTCCCTTCCTCCTAGCCTTTAGTACATGTAGCTCTCAGTGACAGCCCTACTTAACTAAAATAATAACAATACAAAGGGAACTTTCTGCCCTGGAAAATAATATGTTACATGACCCAGTCTGTGCACAATACTTACCAGAGTTACATAAGCCACTTTGTAATCAGGAAGTTTCTTTTTCACAAGTTTGTCATTCTTGATTATAGTTTTTGTTTTACCTAAAATTAAGTAAAAAAGACAGCATGTTTCTAGTAAATATGCAACACATTTTTAGTCCATGAAGAGTTAAGCACAGTGTTTTTTAACTATTCCCTATCACCACAGTTTTATATCAACTTCAGCTGAAGTAGTAGGGAATGTGAAAGTATTAATACTACGAAAATAAATACAGGAAACACCAAAATTTGTTTGTATTTTTTCATTGCTATTGCTTTTCTTAAAACATTGAACTTATATTTTAAGCAAGAAATAAAAATATTATAATGTCTTGAATGATGTAGTTCCTGCTTTATAACTGTAGTTTAATCATTTTATTATCTCCCTACAAACACAGAAAATGAGCAACCGTGTAATATCAGTAGCAATAGAGTACTACAATACTCATGACATTAAGACTGGTTTTCACTAGTGACGGAGTTCGAGTCGTAATCAGAAACGTAGAACTCCACCATCTAGTGAAAACAGATTGTGATTCCGCTTTTGACTCTGTCATTTATGATCAAGTGAAAACTGGGTCGTCAAAGTCCCAGGCAGAAGGGGAAGAACTAAACCAATCACAAAGCGTGGGAACATGCATCGTGATTGGTCTATGCTTCTGCTTCTGCTTCTGCTTCTGATTAATGGTTACCTCACATCACTTATTCTCCCTTTCCTTTAAAACGATATCATGATCAACATAATCAATATTATGATAACTTTCAAGCTCTCCATCTGAGTAACAAGCAAAGCAAACCACGAAAACCCAAATCTCTTAAGGCTCAAAACTTTCTTGTGCCACTCACATATGACCTCTTGTAATACTACCCAAATGAAGAGGTTACTTGCAGGCTACGATAACAGAAGATCAGTACACTGGCACAGTTTCTGTCCTCCAATGTAAGGTTATCTGGACTCTGAAGCCTGGCAAATTTTTGCCTCTGGAATCCAGAATCTAGCCTGTGAAAACAGCCGTTTCTCCTAGCTTCTTGCCACGGGGAACATTTCATGAGGAGGAACATCTGAACTCAGTGACAGAAATTCCATACTGATGATGTAAAATCTGTCCGGAATCCGGTCAGAAGCGCTAATTAGTCGATGGAGTAGTAACATTGTTTAAGCTATTGTTTACGAACAACAGACAAAAGACAAAGGGCTACAAATGTCAAATGTAAACTGCCACAATGAATCTAAAACCAACACTCAATATTTCCGGAATACATTCTTGTCTAGAAGAAGCATTTGAGTTTTGCTGGAGCTTGTTTACAGATGAACACAAAACTTTACCAAAATCGACCAAGAAAAATGTAAAATCGAACCAATTTGCATTTGGAACCCCGTGACTACCAGATTTATTATGTAAACATTGATATACATGTAAGTCATCAATACGGAATTTCTGTCACTGAGTCGCAGATGTTCTTCTTTGCGAAATGTCTCCAGTGGGGAGGAGCGAGGAGAAATGGCTGTTTTCACAGGCTATCCAGAATCCTAGGCTTTGGAATCTGGAATTGAGCTTGAGGAATCCAGAATCTCTCTAACGATTGGAATCCAGAATCCAAGTTCTACTGACAATGAATCCACAATACAGTACTTGGAATCTGGAATCCACAGCAATGAATCCAGAATCCAAGACTGTCTTGGATAACCTTACATGGGACAATTTTCAGGACTGCTCACCATGTTGTATTCTGGTGTTCACCTTGTAAACATCAACCTTGTAGATACCCTGAAGGTAATTTCTAATATCCAGTTTTGACATGCTAAAAAGAAACATAGTATCATGAAACATTTAATAAAACTGTGGGCAGATTATTTAGAATTAAAAACTACATGCTTCAAGTAAGTAAGTGGCCAGACCAATAAATTGCCCCCAATTTTTTTGCCGGAGGGAGGGGGGTTACGGAATCGCACCTATTGATACATGTCAATAGTAAATGCAAATTTTACTGTCAATCAAAATCACAGGAAAAAATAACCGATTCCCATTTTTGGATATTTTAGGGAATTTAAAGAATACCCACAAAAATCCCAAATTTGGAAGAATGAGACAAGTCCCAAGGAGGGAACTTGGTTGGAAATTCCCTGGTTGGGACTTGTCTCACTTTGCCAAATTTGGGATTTTTATGGGTATTCTTTAAATTCCCTAAAGTATCCAAAAATGGGAATCCGTTATTTTTTCCTGTGAATAATGTCTCTTCCTATTATTTGTGGGTGGAAATTGGCGAAACATCTTGATTGCTTTGGAGACAACAGAAGAACAAAAGATATTCATCATCTGTGGGCACACAACTTTGGAAATGCCTGACAATAGACCTTGTCATGGTTTTTAATGCCATCTTGACAAGTAGGCAAACATGTGAGAAATTACAGTATTTGTTTGAGAATCTAATGTCGAATAATTTCCGTAAAATGGATGTTCTGAAAAAAATATTAATTGTCAATTAAAGCTACAATGCAAAGGATTGTCCTAAAAAATTTGAGGGGGCATACCTGTGCTTGAATTTCTCCAGAGGCTTCCTTTAGATTTTCCATATATTTGTCTGTAATTTTTCCCAGGACTTTCTTACAGACAAATGCATAGGACATTTTAGAAAGTGGTTCTAGGTCTTCTAGTGGATCTAACGTCCTCAATTTTTTTCAGTAAAATGCTTAGGAGTGAAGCTTTAGTTTACAATTCATATATTTTTTTCAGAACAGCTGTTTTACGGAAATTATTTGACATTAGATTCACATACAAACACTGTAATTTCTCACGCGTTTGCCTACTCGTCAAGATGGCGCCAAACATTTGCAGTTTGACAGCCATTAAAGGAAACTGTAGCGCCAAAGCTTAGTTGTTTACATGTTTTTGACCAGCGCGTTCCGTTCATGATTCGTTTTTGTCAACTTTTAGGCATAATCATTTCTCGCTCAGAAACAACAGACTTGCCTCCAGAAATTATTCTTAACGTCTTAAAATTATTGCCACGAATATTTTGTTGAGCGAAAATAAATCCAGTAGCCAAAAGCCGCCTACTCCAAACCTCGAATGTTTGGAGCTGCAACCGACGGTATCTGTCCTATCTGTAAAGTCGCTTCGATCCATGCAAAATTCGAACTGCAGCGGTAAACAGGGATGACCAAAAAAAACCTATCAACTTACTCCATGGGTACATGAAACTGAACTGTATTATCTGGCAGTTCTCTTCCAGGTCTGACGATCTTCATATACCAATTACAAAGAAATATTCGAGCTTGCAATGTTGGTTTCTTCACCACATGTCGGTACGCCATCTTGAACGGGATTTTTATGAGAGATCTGGGTTCTATCTAAGGAATGTCCTGGGAACCACAGGACACCCACCTGCACTGGATTTTTGTTCAGTACGATATATCGCTAAAAATGTGAATGGATCAGTGCTAAATTAACGTTGTATTACCTTACCTATGACAAATTATTGTCCTTTGCTTCAAAAGTGGTATTTTGAGCAATTTTGAAGGATTTTGAGTTCGCCGTGTATTGTACCTTCAAGAGAGAAAAATGGGGCCTCTTAATAGATAGTGCACGCCATTACCATTTCCCACACCCCTGCCAACCAAATATGGCTCAACTTGAGTAGCGGCGGGAGTTGGGAATGGAAAGCTCGTATTTTCCTTCTTAATTCTAGTAGACAGTATCGGAACAGCGAGAAAGCGTTCTCGGTTGAGACATTTTTTCCTTAAAACATAGAGCAGGATTGAAGTATAATCTTCAGTCATCAGGCCGGCCTCGACCGGCCGTAGAGACGTAATTTACTTAACCAGTTCTCGCACCCCATCTGTTCAGCATTTTGTGACTAGTTTTTTTAATATCGGGATAGTAATCCTAACGAAACTTCAACCAAAATTTCAGACAAGCATGTTTCATGTATGTAGTCAGAAAAACGATGACTGGCAAATTTTCCTTTTTTATCTTGCCTTAGCGTGCTTGCATCACGCTTTGCGGATGCGAGTGAAAAACACCGCCATAATAACTTATCGCTTCGGGAAAGGTGGTTGGGAGGATTATCGGGAGATCGCAAATTGTTTGCTATGGGAGAAAGGAAGGATCGCTTTTTCATTTCTTGTAATTAACGAGGTCTGTGAGAAACTGTGTTGATGATTATAGTTTGATGTTTGACGGGGTTTAATTCCAATGGTCGTGGGGTGAATTTAGGCCTCGTAACAAAAACCTGAAAAGCACTTTATATTATAACTACGAAAAGTTCCGTTTCATGTCTCGTTTGTAAATAACATCATTTCATTCGGGCAAGACGCTTTTCCGACACCACTATGATTAATTACTTTACACGCCCTTAGTGGTAAATGAAATCTCACTATCAGATAAAGCAAGATAAGATTCAGACGCCTTTGACCGTCGTGGCTCGCTTAAACCTCCAAACTTTCCTTAATGGTCTTTAACAATGTCTCCAATCAAAGTGCCCAATGTTACATTATTTTTATTTTCGAACCTTTTTTTTCCCTTTTTGATACAAATCCTTATAAATTCGCAGTTACGTGACCAACAACGCTGAGTAATTTTTTGGCCGTATCCCGCTCGGATCTGTTAGCATAAGATAAAGGTGTGGTTCATAGCTTGCAAATTCCCTTCCACATTTTTTCTTTTTCTCTCCCCTTTGTGCAGAATACTAGAGCTAACTAACGAGGTGGTGTAATCCGAAAAAGAATAAACGAAACTGAACCTTCCAATGATGTACGTTTAGTCAGCCGATACGGTTACTTTGGAATTCGTACTGTGCACGTGCGTCTTCCATTTTGACCCAAATTTCTGGCAATGGACACCATCAGCTTCACCAGTCAGTGTTGCCCAGATGTTTTGTCGCGAACAGACTAAGAACAAAATTAACTTGCGTTCAAGCAACAGAAAACTCCTTAATTATTTACAGTTGACCAATAAGGCATTATGATAGAGAGTTCGAGCTCTTCATAGAGTATTCCTTCCAGTACAATAAATCAGAATCATTTACTTGTCAGTGTCAAAGCAAAGACAGTTTTTCCGTACGATTTCAGTCAAAATACAATCGCTTCAAGCGCATTGGAAAAATGTTTCGAGCTCAAGGCGTTAAAAACTATATCGTGAAACCTGATACCCACTACCTGGAGAGTTAATAGTTTTTGAGAAGCACTTGTTCGTGAGACAACAAATATTAATTCAGATTGCCAAGTTCATCGACAACAATTGTTTGTCAAATTACTATCATCTGCTCATTTTCTAATTTTCAGAAATTTTGAATCTCAATCAGACGTTTAACTTTTACCATAACCGTGGTTATCTCTCGAGGCGCCTGAAATTGTATTTTAACGTCTAACTGAGAAAGCGTCTTCGGTCGGCTGCAAATCCCTTCCAAAGCGATCAAAGAAAGACAAAGACGCACAGGTGAATCGTTTCCACTTTATTGCATTGGAATGAATACGCTATAAATCCCTAGGGCCCCCCGTGGTTACAGTCAAAACAATTTTAATTACAATGATGGTGTTTTCTTTTTCTTGTTTAGTTAACTCATCGTAAGAATAGACAAATTTTTGATCAAGTTAACCTGAAGTTTTAAAGCGGACTAGTATCCTAGATGTATAACCTAGTTGTTGTAGGGTGACATTTTCAACACTTTCAATAAGCACCGACGGCCGACGAAACGCGTCGGCTAGTTCTTTGCTAGAACGAACTGAGAAGCAACTAGTTTGAAAAACGTCGCGAATAAAAAAGGATCATAAAATCTGAATGAACTGGTTTTTCATTATGCTTTAGTCATGTTTATAGGTTTACGCAGAATTTCTTTACGTGCAAAGTACGTAATTTAGTTTTCATCACTGATGCGTTCACTGGTTCAGGTAGGAATTGATTGTGTAACCAATAAATCGAAACTTGAATGAAAACTACATTTTTTTGAATGAAAAACACACTCTTTTGTCCTCAATTTTATACCCAGAACGCTGGAAATCGCATTTTACGGCTTTGAAATTTCAAAAGAGATATTCTGGCAAAGAACGCCCCCAGACCCCCTAAGAAGAAGAGGGCTAACGGCCCCTTGTTGATACAGTTGGATACTCTCTTCAAACCTGCTGGCTTCTTCAATTTTTATTGAAACCCCCGCATTTTCAAATACATCCTCTTACGCCTCATTGTCTTGGTTCGTGCAGGGTGAGTCGTGGGCTGCGTCTGGTGGTCAGTGTGGCGCGAAATATTCTCCTACACCTGCTTATCAAAATGTTTGTTCGTGAAATCGTGAAATCTTAGTTCAGAAACATTTATTTCAAACATCTTAAGCAATAAAGTGCTGCTAATCACTAGCTTTCAACCTGGTGACCCATCTAAAGTTTCTTAGTACATGACGATTGTGATACTTTATAAATAAGCGTTTCGTGCTTCTATATGTAGGTTGATTTTCCGACGGCACATAATAGTTTCTTTCAATTAAAATTTGTTCTCATTTTTATCTCCCACAGTTTAAACAATGAAAGAGCCAGTCCTACTGTAGTCGAATTTAGTAATTGTGAATAGTATATTATTGTAGTGACGTACTTGCACCGGATAGCAGACTGCCTTCATTGTTTAAGCAGGTTTGTCGTCCAAGTCTCAAAATTGAATATGTTGTGATATCGGAAGTGATCCAGAATTTTGTTTTGTCTCCTAAGAATTTTAAAATTTACTTAAAACTGATATCAGAAAACGACCTATGAACTCTATCATCTAACCATACGGGCCAACCAAAGGAATAATAACCGAACCTAGACTCGGTTTCCTAAGCATTTACTCAGAAGGCTAAGGATTCAGTGCAATAAACACTTCACCAGGGGAAAACTCCAACAGCGGTAAGTGAAAATCAAATTTTAGTTTCTTTAAAGATTCAGAGAGGAAACAGTGGACTTTTTTTTGCAGTTCTCGTATTTAACTGAAGTAAAAATTGGGTGATTAGAAACGTTTCAGCTAGCAAACGCTCCGGCTAAAAATACTTTAGACGATTTACTGTTACGTAATACATTATTCTCTTATTTTTATCAGCTGAAATTTCCACCTTTAATAAATTTAAGAACTTTTAGACCCTATATTTAATCAAAATGAATGTCGAAGCGGACCAATTTCAATGAAATGCCGGCCGATTTTATTATGCTTTAAATTGGGATGTGCCGGTGTAGAATTGTAAATAAAGTTTAGCTTCCTTCCTGCTTTGGGTGGTATGAAAAGGTAAAGTAATAATCCATTGCCACCGGTAATGGAAAACGAGAAGATCCTGGGGGACGAGGTTGGTAAAAGCGGAGCTCTAGCGTAAGCGTAGCATTGCACTGGTCATTGGTAATCAGATTTGGCTATTTACATGGTCCACCAGGTTATGATGAAATCGTACATGCGTGCGTCCACCCTTAAATGTGACAGTTATCTAAACAGAGTATTCACTGAGCAGTATCACGTTACCGTATCGCGGGCTCAAGTGTACAACTTCTCGAGGTGCCGTGTTTTCTTGAATTCTCCGCTGACCAGTTATTAGTTTTTAATTGATCACAGACCTGTCAGGGCCTATCAAATCGACTTTTTTGAAACACATCAGAAGTGTTTTATCTGAAGCTTCGTCTTCACCCCTAGCCGAATCTTTATATTAATTGGCAGGAGCCCATAAGGTGCCCCTCCTTATAGATGCAATAAGAGCAAGAGTTTGCTTCATATTATGGTTATAACACACCCATTAAATTGAAATCAATTTTATAATCTCCGTTTAAGGGTAAGCTTATCTTAAAGTGGATCGGAAGTATGCTCGTTTCTTGCAATTCATCTGCCTACGGTCTGATTCAATTTATGACCAGTATAAAGGTAAAAGGTAAATACGGTAAAATCTGTTGTATACCTCGAGGCTAAATGGTAATGGCCTCCACGGGATGATAAATGTCCTACAGTTTTAAGTCAAATCATGTAAAGACTCCAGTCCGGTGATCGGTTCAGTGAAAAAGTTGGCAGACAAACTTGTTTTTCACTTAGTGAATGTCCCGAATAATACCAAGGGCAAAGGTTTTCGGTTGTATTTGAAACAATATTAATTCCATGACCAGCGAAATTGTTATTTCCTCCATCTTCCGTCCAAATACAAAATAGTGCTTTGCTTATGGAACGATGTCAAATACTGCAGAATACACGCAAATAAAATACCGACAAAACGAAGACACATCACTAAAGTAAAATGAACACCGCCACTGTGAAAAAGACCGTGACGGAAGAGAAGATATTATAGCGAAGTGATGAACGCTGAATTTCGATCGTGAATTTTCTTGAAGCAGTCAGAAAAAAACTCAAAGTTATTTTCTCTGTTCAAAGACTCGAAGTTTGGTGATTATTTCCAGCGAATTCAAGGCTGGCCCTGGCCCGTTTATAGTCATGAAAAGTCAACGCAGGGCGGTTTATCTGCAGTCTCCCACGCAGTTCAAAAGTAACCATTTGAAAAACTTAATCTACCTTTGTTTGGATTTCGAAGTACCGTGTTTACTTTTCTCTCGATTTCTCAGTTAATAATAGCAACCTAAATATGAATAAACCCAGGGCAAACTAAAATAATTGACTAACCACCCACGTACACTTAAAACTTATTGTCGTGTGCTTTCCGTAAAGGGTGTGTTCTGCTTACAGTTCGGCGAGTTGAGGCTCCCTGAATTTCCTGAGTGTCAGTTGCTAAATTTCTTTGATCCTAAGTTCTAAGTGTCGAGAGAGTATGATCGTATGATTGTACTCAACATTACTACAACTTTTACTCTCCATTGTTTACTCTTATCATTCCACGATAAAATAAGATTTACAACAAATTTGCAGGGAGAAATTTTAATTTGATGCAAAATGGTGCAAACAGAGTGTAAATCAGGAACACAGGTGTAACAACATTCCGAATTTGCACCATGATTTGCACTCTCAGTTATATAAGACAGGGTGCAAATAAGGCCTTTTTTTGATCCTAATTCATACCGTGCTTGTATTTTAGTTAATTAAAAGTTTATTACAATCATACAGTTGTATTTATTCTGGGCAAATTTGTTTCTAGTTTTACTAGAAAATCTACAGGCTACTTCATGAACGATGTTGCTTCTATCTACTCTCATGAACGAGCAGTAATCACCATTATAAAATCGACTCGATGACTGACAAACAGAAATATACTGCTGCTCGTCGACGAAATATTTGAAAAAAAAAAAACAACAACAACAAGTCAGTGGAGTATAAAATAACATTACTAAAAAATCGAAAAGCTGCAGCTGTGTTCGAGAAAAATCGTGATGTTTCAATGGTTGATTATACAATATCCCCCTCCCCCCGGGGCCTCACATAGCCATTTTTGGGCGCAAAACCCATCAAGGCCGAGATGATAGCATCAAAACGGTTAATTAGTGGATATGCCATTGGTTGATTTAGGGTCGTGGGAAGCCATAATTGCCTCATTCTCCACACAGAATACTCTTAAGAACAACATTAAAAAGTAAGAACGGATGATTTGAGGTCATTCTTGATTGTGTTTTGCTTTCAGAAAGACGCTTGATTACACAATTATTTGCACCTCTATTGAAGCTCAAGGTAAGCAGAAAACTCACAAAAGGTATATCCATCCTTCCCAACCACTGAAATTACTGAGAAACCAAAATCTATAAACGGGGTGATAAGATTTGATAGAAATTTCACAGCAAATCTATAGTGTATCTGCTTGTGATCTCTGATCATCTAAAGATTACTATGAATTATCGATTGTGAGAAATGAGAGGGTTTTACACGGGGTGATATATATATTCCAAGACATATACACAGAGAGTATACAGTGTTACTAAGGTAGAATTAGAACTGCTTGTTAAAAATGGTGTTGGCATGGACCGTGAAACGTGCATGAAGATAGCAGCTCATTATTAGAGCGCGCGTAGGCACTATTCACTTGAATGCGTGGCATTATTACTAATACTTTTCAGGTAAATATGGATGGGTTTGTTGAGTCTGGAATGTGAGGGACGGGTGGGGGGGGGGGGGGGGGGGGGGGCCTTGGG